AAGGTCAGCCATTCGAATCCACTAGCTGCTCTATAGAAGACCCCCAGGCAGTCTGCTTCCTTATAGCCTCAGAAACCCTAAGGGGCATCCTCCTCGAGCCTGTGGGGCTGGTATGAGTTGGAATCAACTCAACAGCAGTGGGTTTGGGGTTTTGCTTGCTTGTTTGTTTCTGATTAGTTCTCAACCCTATTCTTAGTTACATGCTGTTTTTTCAAAATAAGCATGAGTGCTTGCACCAGAGCAGCCATTTCCATGAAGAAACCACACTAGTTAATGCTGGGCCCACCCCCACCAAGAGATCAGGCTTCACAGTGACTAGGAGAGACTAATGGTCACATTTTGTTTCTAGTCTATGTATGTTTACTTCTGATAAGACATGGAACTGCCATGCCCACTGGCTATTTCAGGTGTGTCTGCCCAGCCTATTCTCTTACGATGGGACAAGTCACCGCTTGGGACTCCAGAGTCTTCACAGGTGGTTTGACAAGCGTGGGATCTTTCCAACTAGGGTCCTCTCGCCAGTGCAGAAGAACAGAGCTGTTCTTGCCCCAACCCATAATCTTAAACGAACCCAGCTGAGATTCCCTCTCCCTTAGACATAGTTTAAATGGATTCAATAAATGTTTGCTTCTGTGCTTATTATATACTCACTTGGTCATCCACTCATTAGCACGTTGCGTTTTAGACCTGACCCAGTCCCCTATTCTAAAGACCATTCTTTCTTTCGATAAATTGATGTGCTTACTTTGGTACCTGTCTTACAGATTTGGATGTCATTTTGTCCCTCAAGCTTAATGTCTCATATCTTAAGACTAATTCTTTTCTTCTTCTTCTTTTTTTTTTTTTTTTAGGTCTTTCCGATTTATGGTTTAGCTTTCAGAAATTTCTGCTTCTTATAATAGTGAAATGACAGTGTCACTAACATTTCCTCTCTTCCAACATCCCCTATATGAGAACATGCTGCCTTTCCTATGTGTTTTGTTTGTTTGTTGTAGGCTGTTCACTTATTCTTCCCATTAACCAGGCCCAACTGGGACTGCTTTTGGTTCATGCAAGTTACTTTGGCCGCTCATCCACCTCTGGTGTACTTGCCAGTAATAATATGTCGGTGTATTATTTCAGCCAGCAATGATTAAATTTCACCTTTAGAAATACTTTTCTGTTTAAAATTGTGAGTATATGTAACAAGACATTTGCCATTTCAGCCACTGACATCATGTATAAAGCCCATATTGGGCGACCACTGCCACTGCCCTTTCTGTAGTGCTCAACGCAGAATGAACCTGGTAATTGTTTTACTTCACAGGATTGTTGATTCAGTTTAGCATAGCCTGTGGATTTGTTACTTTATCTTCCAGATAAATCAGTGTGAAGTCTCTATTTGATCTTTTCTCTAAAGTTACAGTGAGAAGGTTGTTTGGGTTTGAAATATTTACCACTGCTAAACAGATTACTTGGTTGTCACACTTTACTGAAAACACTGTCACTGCAGACAATTCGTTAATAGAACTTTTACTTTAAATAAATCATTAATAAGCCTCATTTGCTCTGAAAACTGAAGGTATGGGTATTCAAATTGAATGAATGTATCCAGCAATTTATTTATTCATCCTACAAACATTGTCTTGACTACCATTTTCTTCCAGTTGCCATTATCAGCTGGAATTCTTTCCTTAAAGGCAGTCCTGTCCTTTATTGGGAGAAGTATTTTTCCAAGCTCAACAACTAAATGAGAATGCCAGGCTTGCACCTGGTAAAGTTAAAAGCGATTTGGCTTTAAATAGGAACCTTCAATACAGGAAGAACTAGTTAGCTGCTCCTTTCAGATGAGTATCCATTCCAGTAGACACCAAATGAGCTTCCATTGACCAGTAAATGTTTTAGCCATTAGTTTTTTTGTGTCCCTTTCTCTTCAAAAATCAGACAACATGAAGGTAATTTTTAAAGTATTGCTGCAAAGTCATAGGAACCTTTACTAAACAAAAATATTGGGGTTGTGTTGATGACTTCTTAGCATCTCCACCATCTAGATGCACACACTTCTGAAGGCAGCGTTTCCTTCTCTCACCCTTCCGCAAAGCCTTCCGCCCGCCTGTGTGCTGCACCACAGCGAGACAGCAGTGGTTGCTTCCTCGCGGGACTCCACCAGGGTGCCTTCCAGATGTTCTCCTTCAGTTTCGTGAACAAAAAGAAATCTAAACGGGCAAGGTCAGACTGTCAGGTGGATGGGGTACGGTTTCCCAGTGAAGTTCTCATACGAGCCCTCAAAGAATGAGGCAGTACAATGTGATGGGGAAATTCCTCAGCACAGGTTTTTCTGGGCTTTTTCCCAGTGGATGCAATTTTCCATTTTCTGAGAACTTCTTTATAATAAGCCCCCGTGATCATTCTGTGTGTCTTTCAAGAAAAACTGCTCATTTGGAATTTTAAGAAACAAACTCTTGGGAACCACTGCTTTACTTGGGTCTGTTTTTGAAGGCACCCTACTGAGACAAGATGGGTGTATGGCTGGAGAACTTGTCTGCAGCCACCCGCCAACACAGACATGGTTAAACACACTTTGTTTGGAATAACCATGCGCAGGTAGGAGCTGGACCTGGTAGCAGTGCTTCTTCACTCACCCTCATGCATGTTTGATGTCTTTCAGAAGGCAAGTTTAAGACAAGTGAAATACTCCTAGGCAAAGTGCTGAACTGTCTTTGCTATTAAAAGCATTAGAAGTGATTTGACCCCAGTCACAGTATATATAGCAATTTTGTTTGGATCAGCCGATAAAGATCTTAAGATCTATAACTTCTGTTGGTCTTAAAAGGTTAGTTAGGTACGATTTTAGAAAAAGATTCCTTTAAGACAGAATAATATGTGAGTTAGCAACTGTACTGAAAAGGAGCCTTGGTGAAGTAGTGGGTTACACATTCGAAACCACCCACTGGTCCACAGGAAAAAGATGAGACTTTCTACTCCAACAAAGATTGACAGTCTCAAAACCCACGGGGCAGTTCTCTGCCCCATCGATGAGTCAGAACCAATTGATGGCAGTGAGTTTTGTTTCGTTGAGCAATACTGCCCAAGTGTCTGGTGTACACTTCCTTCACTTTGAATATTATAATTTTAGAGTTATTTGGAAGATAATAAATATTTCCTGAAAATTGTTTAACACTTTTATTAATCTATTACTGCCTGTTAGGTGTGGGCCATGTAATTTGCTGGATTCTTAAAAACCGTTTGGCTGCATCTATAAACAAAGTTATTTCCTACGAGTGTGTATTTCTGGTTTCATAATGGGAAAAGGACCCTGGGTATGGACTAGATGAATGATTTGGTTAGTGAGTAAATGTAGCTGGAAGATAGCAGCTGTTAAAGAAGATCTACCAGTAAGTAAAAGAACTTTAATTTATGAACAAAGCAATCTTGGGTAAATCTTAGTGTTTTCTTGTCTCTATCTTCAAGTACAAAATAAGAGAAGCCAGTAGTCACCATAAACCTTTGAAATTCCGTACCGCTCTTCAAATTGGCTTTTTCCATTCCAAAAGTAGTCCATGCTCATTGTAGTTTTTAAAAATGTAACGATAGACAAGAACTACACCATCCAGAGACCGCCACTCGCATGTTGCTGTATTCCTTGTAGACACGGACGTTAGTCATTTTCAGCTTTCACGTAGCCGTGGTTGTATTTTATGCACAGTTTTTCATCTTGCCTTTTCCCTTTAGCAGTCTTCACTGTGAATTCTATTACTGGTATCTCTAAAGACTGCCAGGCATTTCAAGTGCTCTTTTATATTTATTACCTTTGCATTCTAGAAAAGAATTTCTAAGTGAATTCTTTGCCCTCCTTTCCAACCAGTTGCTGATTAAATTAGTCTAGCTCATGAGCACCCATGTAGGTCACTCAGAGCTGTGCCCCAAAAGGTTTCAGTGGTGGGCGTTTTTGAAGGAGATCCCTGGATCTCCCAAGGCGTCTCTGGGTAGACTGGACCTCCCGCTTGTCAGCTAGTGCGTTAACCACCTGCCACCAACCAGGGACTCTGCGGACTCCCTTTGAAAGGTGTTTTAGAATAACAGTATGGTGAAAAGGCACCATTTTCATCCAGCTAGAAAAAAGAGCTTGTCTATAGTTGCTTTGCAGCTCATTTGAGTTGAGTCATCTTTAACTGTTAACAGGGTTTTGGTTAGTAGGTTGGGGTCTTTGGACTGCTTTATAATTTTTAAGTCAAAAGCTGTAGAAAATTGAGGTGATGAAATTGCCTGAAATTTGACTGTGAATATACCAATGACTATACTGCCCCGGTTCAACTATGTGTACTTTAAATGAGTGAATTATATGGCTTGTGAATTATATCTCAAAAAAGCTGTAAAATTATATGAATACATACATATGTATGTATTTAAAGGAAATAAAAACCCATGGAGAAAAATATCTATTGGGATTTTCTTTCCCTTTTTAATAATAGTTTTATTGACATATCTTACAATCCAGTGTATCCATTCACATACAATTCTGTTGTTCAGTCCCATGAGTGGAGTTATACAATCATCAGTGCTATCAGCTCCCCAGTCTCCCTCTCTCCCCATACCCTCAGGGAACCAATACTGCTGCTACTGTTTCTGAAGGGTTATCTATCCTGACTTTTATGTACCAGACACTCTTAAATATACAAATGAGCATACGAAGATCTAACTTGATTAATGAGGTAAAACAAATAACAATCTTAATAGTGAGGGGAGGAAATACTAAAGAACTAGTGGATAATTATGTGGTTCGTCAGTGCCACGCTGCACCTGGATTTATCATCCTTTCGGTGTGGCCCTTCTAAGAGGACTGTCCAGTTACCTGGCAAGGTGAGTTTTAAGTACTTGCCAGTCTCTATACTCTCGCATACATTTGAAGAATAAACTTAACTCTGCTTAATAATAGTGATGGGTTTTTAGGATTTCAAAACAGTCTTGCATGCATTTTGATTAATTCTTTTATTATATGTGAACTCTTTTAACTGTGTTAGGTCAACTGGCTACTCTGAGGTGATAGTTGTGGTTGGAGGCTGCGAACGAGTTGGAGGATTTAACCTGCCGTACACTGAGTGCTATGACCCTGTGACAGGAGAGTGGAAGTCTTTGGCTAAGCTTCCCGAATTTACCAAATCAGAGTATGCAGTCTGTGCTCTAAGGAATGACATTCTTGTTTCAGGTAAAGAATTACCATTGTAGCTACTCATGAGGAGTTCAGCCATCTTATAAATATCTTTTTTTTATCTGATAAGTATCTTAAAAGATTTCCAAGAAAATTACCAGAAAATGCCTTTAATCATACATATTAACTGCTCTCAAATATATCTAAAATAACGGTATAATTTTCTAACCTTTTTCCAGTTTACTTTGTTTTAAGAAATGTCGTATATAAAGTCAGAAATAATCATAGAATTAAGCCTTCCTAATGTACTCAGGTTAGCTGAAATTCTCCCCAAAATTTATAAAGTAGAATTTTCTTAAAAATCTTAACTTGAGCTTCTTTGTGATATGTGATCTATTACCTGTGAAATAAAGCAGGCAATAAAGTGGCAGTTATATACAAAGTACAACCACCATGTCTGTAGTTTGAAGCCTATTTTGGATTAAATAATTTTACCAGCTCTGCTACTACACACCGTACAACATAACCACATGCACTTTGTTTTATACGATAGTATGCTTTTTAAAGAAAGGGCGATTTTAAAGCTGTTTAAAGAATAATTGTTGTTTCAGTGTGTCTGATGTCTGACTCATCGATTAGCTATCTCATACATGTTCTGTATTTTATGATTTGGGGCCTTCATTACTTTTCGAGGTAACAGTTGTCAGAATTCACTTAGTGAACTGAATTCTCAACAAAGCCTTTGGTGTCTTATTGCCTGCCTATGCCTCAGTGGCACGACTCCCTTGCTGGCCCATGATACATTTTCATATGTGAATTGCTTTGCATTTGAAGGTGGAAGAATCAACAGCCGTGATGTCTGGATCTATAATTCACAGTTAAATATTTGGATCAGAGTGGCCTCTCTAAATAAAGGCAGATGGCGTCACAAGATGGCTGTCCTCCTTGGTAAAGTAAGAGAAACCACTTTTTTATTACTATCCCTGGTACATTCCCAAACAAATGCCACCGTGGAGCCTTCGCTTCACTCCCCCTCGGGGTCATTTGGATTCGAGTTGTATGTCCTCCGTTTCGAGCCTCAATAGATAAACTGAAGATATAAACAATTTGACAGTGTACTTTTGAATAGCTATTTTGTTCTCCCAATTTGGAATTTGTGGCAGTGCAGCACATTTCTCGTGCACCAGTGGAGTGTAAATGCCTATGAGGAATTGGAAAATAAAGGAGCTGCCTACAGTACAAAAACAGGACAGTGTTTAATCTGGGCAATTTTTTCCTTTTACTGACTTTGGCAACTAGAAATATGTCTATCTAGAATAATGCTATTTTATCTGTTATTTATACAGTAGATTAAAAACATATCTTAAATATGTATTAAGATAATCCCACCAACTTATTTTTTTAACTTACCATTGACTGCAGCTCATAAATATTAAAAAAAAGTTATATCATTTGGGTTCTGAACCATCAGCTGTCCTTAGGAACCCAAGACTCACCTGTTGACTAATGGTTTAAACGTTTTAAAAGCAGCTGTACCAGTTAAAATAAATTAAACCTAGTATTAAAATCCATCCAGTGAAGCAGTTAAAAATGCAGTGAGGTTCCCAGGGGTCAGGTGAGGTCTATCCTCTCCCAACACCCATCTCTACCAGTTCCCCCAAATCAAGCAAAACCCAGGGCCCCAGAGTTGATACCAACTCATCACGACCCTGGGTTCAGTGTGATAATAACAACCAGCCAGTGCCATCAAGTTGATTCCGACTTTATAGGGTTTCCAAGGCTGTACATCAGTGGTTCTCAACCTTCCTCATGCCGCGACCCTTTCATACAATTCCTCATGTTGTGGTGACCCCCCAACCATAAAATTATTTTCATTGCTACTTCATCACTGTCATTTTGTTACTATTATGAATCAGGCGACCCCTGTGAAAGGGTCGTTCAACCCCCAATGGGGTCTCGACCCACAGGTTGAGAACCGCTGCTGTAAATCTTCTGGAAATAACCTATCATGAGTATTTTCTAACAGGACTGGTTTTTCACTAACTACATATTATACAAGGGGGCTTCAAAAAGGTCGTGGAAAAGCTCCAGTGTATTTCAGTTCTGTTTTTCCATGAACTTTCTGGGGACCCTTGTACAAGGAGCCTTGGTTGCCCAGTGCTTCAATGGCTCAGCTCTTCACCAAAAGGTCAGTGGTTTGAACTCATCGCCTGTCCTGTGGGAGGAAAGTGTGGCAGGCAGCTTCCATAAAGACGACCACCTTAGAAACCTCACCTGTGTGCTAGGGGGTGGACTACTAAACACAAGATTGACAGTTCAAACCCACCAGCCACTCCTTAGGATAAAGACGAGGCTGCCTGTTCCCGTAAAGATGTACAGTCCCGAAAATCCTGTGTAGGGTCACTATGAGTCAGAACCAACCTGATGACAATGGTGGCCGTATTAGATATGGCTTTGGTAACTGTACCTCAGAGATGACTGCCTATCAAAAGACCCACCCCACCCCCCTTTCCCCAAAGGGGCAGTTGAAATAAAGTTGGAAGAAGCTGAGCTCTGACTCAAAAGATTACAGTTACTTAGGCAGGACATTCAGAAGCAAATTGGAACTGCTTCATGTCTCAAAAACCATATATAGATTAGGTAGAACACAGTTTATTGGATAACTGTTAGCATACTTTACCCAAGGGCCCAAAAGCTTAGAACTGCTAAATTCATTTAAAAACAAAAATGATCACTCTAAAAATTGCAGAAAGTAAGCTGAATCCAGAGACTTATAAATGTTCAAAATGTGTTAATGCTGTGTTGAAAAACCCTAGGATGGTCTGGAATTGAGGATCTCAGAGCCGGAAGGAAAATTAGAAAGGATGTTCAACTTTCTTAATTTAGAAGCAAACCGGATCCCCCAAAGAGGGAGGCGATCGCTAAGGTTTCACCAGAAATAAAGCCCAGGCAAAAGCTGAGAAATTCTCCATCTAGAGGCTTTTTTTTAACTCGATGCTCGCAGTGCAGTGTTTTTAATTTATGCATACCGAGGAAGGACATGGGAGCCGAAGGGCTGCTCTTGAGAATTTCTGGATACTGGACCGAAGCCAGTCAGGCCCCTGTGTTGGTCATCCTTAGAACTAAGGCGGCCGGCTGCAGGAACATCCCTGCCGGGGACTTTCAGAGAGCATTGCCCAACCCCCAGTGTGTGCGCACCGCCTGGGGTTTTGAAGGTGCGGCATGGAGCCTGATGCTCCACATCTCCAGCCAGCCCCAAAGGATGCCTGTGCTGCTGGCCCCAGACTGGACTTTGAATGCCACAGAATGACCCAGGGAGCTTTTCTGAAAGTAACGTTGACCAAGCTCATTCTTGGAGAGTCAGGAAATTTCCGGTGGAGACCTGACAAGCCTTTCATTTTTTCAGCGTCCCAGGAAATCGCTGATGCAGCAGATCCCTGGTGATCTGTTTTATAACTTGATTTGTTTCCTTCATTTATATCACATTTTCTCTTGAGCTGAACTGACTGAGATATCCTTGTAGCATGTGTGTTTCTTTCTTAAGGCACACGACAAGATTGGCAATAAATCCTGGGGATTTAGGCAGCAAGACTTAAGGACCTAAACACATATGAAAAATGATTCCCATCGAAAGGAGCAACAGCTGCCAGGTAGATAGCACTGGCATTGAAACACTGAAGACCAAGACAGGGGCCGGGCACCAGCGTACACTGACACACCACTCCATTCCAGTCCAAAAAGCATACTGTCTGAGTGTCAGCTTCCAGACCCACTGGCTCCAATTTCTTCCTGTGGGAGACATGTACATATTCCAAATCGTGGAGAAGGCCAGAGCGCTCGTCGGGGCTAAGCAAGGGGAACTCTGGGATTTGTAGGGCTGCCATTAGACACACCTCTGGGCCGGGAGTCAATATGAAAAATGTAATCAAGAGCAGGGTAAATTAAAGGATTGAGAACCCTGGAACCAACTAGATGGCAATTGTATTATAGTTACCAGGAATTCTAAAGGGGAGAGATCCCTTCATTCCGCCACTGCCTGGCTTAAAATGCAGACTTTTAATCCTTAAGCGTTTTCCCTGTACCCTGCACACAGGTCTACGTTGTAGGAGGCTATGATGGGCAGAACAGGCTCAGCAGCGTGGAGTGCTACGATTCCTTTTCCAATCGGTGGACTGAAGTGGCTCCCCTGAAGGAAGCCGTGAGTTCACCTGCCGTGACCAGCTGTGTAGGCAAACTGTTTGTGATTGGTGGCGGACCCGATGATAACACTTGTTCTGATAAGGTAAGCCATTTTCTCTTACAGAAATGACCAGGGTATATAAGAAGGCCAATTCGGAAGATGTATAAGTAGATAGTGAGGTTCCTTAGTTTTAGGGACTTTTAAAAAATCATGTGGTACTTTCTGCACTGGAAGGGGGGAAACATGAGTCTGTAGTTGCTGAAATGAGACCCTCACATCTCTTCACAATTTATTGTAAAAATAGAGTCCTGTCTTTTTGAAACAAGACCAAGCTTAACAAGCCCTGAGATTTCTAACAGAATAAATTGTCCCTGTCCCTGCTATCTGTGGCAAAAGCTAAAAATCCAAACAAATGCAGTTGGGAGGTGAATTTAGGAAAGGTTGAGACCAAGAGACTAAATCCACTGATTCAAACCTGGGTCGTTTCCTGCATATTTTAGGGGGATTTTTTAGACTGGATAAAAGAGAATGCCTCTGCAGTGTGTGTGAGGACAGATCAGGGTTGCTGTGGTCCATTGAACTCCTGCCATGACAGACATGTGCCATCTTGATGTCTCAGGAAATTCCACCTTTACTTTGGAAACACAGGGCTCATGCCCAATTTAACTAACTGAATTTTGGTAATCTGTTCATTCTTTTTCTAGACTTAAATGCTATTCTTTCAGAATATATTAAAAATGTGTGGTAATTCAACCAGACTGAATTTAATTTTATTAGTATGATTCTAAAACCTTTATGGTATCAGACAGCCTCATATTTCTCCCGAGGAAGCAGCTGGTGATTCAAACCACAACCTTGAGGTTAACAACTCAATGCAGAGCCCACCAGGCCTGGTGTTCAAACCCACCAACTGCACCTCAGGAGAAAACTGAGACAGTGGGCTCCCATAAAGGTTTGCAGTCTCAGAAGCCTGCAGAGGGTTGCCGTGAGCCAGAATCTACTCAGTAGCAGTGAGCTTAGAGTTGGTTTGGTGGTCTGATTTTAGGAGAACTCTAAAAGTATAAAGAAACTGCATACGGATTGAGGCATAGCTACATGATACTTTTTAGAATTTACACTGTTGACTTTTGTGGAAATATGTAAAGCAAACCCAGTAGCCATTTTATCCTGAAAATGATCTGTTTCTTTGTACCTGTGCTGTACTTGCTGGTAACAAACTTTTATTTCTATCGAGTATTCCCTTCATGCACACATTTCCCTGTCAGGCTAGCTGTTCTTAATCCTCTTTAAGTTAACGAATGAGGTTTTGATTTCTGATATGTTTCTGTGTATTGATGGACTTTTTTGAAGTACATTTGCATTTTTTGTCTAGGTATTTTAATGAAATGTTTCTATATTAGGTTCAGTCGTATGATCCAGAAACCAATTCTTGGCTACTCCGTGCAGCTATCCCAATTGCCAAAAGGTGTATAACAGCCGTGTCCTTAAACAACCTGATCTATGTTGCCGGTGGACTGACCAAGGCAATATACTGTTATGATCCAGTTGAAGATTACTGGATGCATGTGCAGAACACATTCAGCAGACAGGTAATGACATAGAATGGTTCAGAAGAAGAATCTAAGAGAGAGTAACTGTGTGACCTCTATTAGCACACTGGAAAGGTCATTGTTAAAATACTTCCTATATACTTACACCACTTCTTTTTTTTTAGAACTTCACATAAAGCTTGTGGTGTTACTATTTTGAACTCCTTCCGGGGATTGCTTTATTGCAATGGTTTTCCTTTGTCAGAATCCTGCCACAATCCTACTCCCCATCTCTTGCGTATTTCAGAAGAGAAGAGATGCTCCCAAACTGGCTTCTTGGCTTCTCTTCCCAGGTGAAAGCCCTGGGTATTTGTTGGGTTTTGTTCTAAAAGAAATTACTGTGTTCAGGTCTCCTTTATCCACCTCCACCTCGACCTGCCCCGACAGACCCCTAAAACAGCCTTCCCTCCGCTTTCTGATCTACGACTGCTCTCTGTCCTTTCGCCGCTCGAGATACTTCCTGGTTGAGTGCAGGAGATCTGCTCTTCCAATAGCACTTGGTGCTCTGTGCTCTTAAAGGGCCCTACTTCTCAGTTCTTCAGCCCCCTTCAGGGTCTGTTCTTTCTCTCTCTCTTTCACACACACACACACACACACACCACCATTAAACCATTCACTGATGTGTAATTGACATACCTTACAGTTCAGCGGTTTGGATGTACAGTCATCGCCACACTCCATTTAGGACCTCACCTTCATTGCTGTAGTCACTGTTATTAGCTCTCCAATATGGGTGTCTCTTGAGTCTCTTTCCTTCACCTCCTTCCCGGTGTATGCTGTGTTCCTTCGTGGCCTGCCTTCTCCCTGGTACCATGACTCAGTCTTCCTCAGGAAAGTTCTCTCCTGAGTATTAAACTTAAATGTCCAGCGGCTGATTTGATACAACTCCAGGGATGTGTCAGGATTTCAGACTTAAAATAGAACCCAGCTTCTTCCTCCAACCTACTTCTCTTTGTTTAATTTTTAATTGTGAATTAAGTGAAGGTTTACAGAGCAGATCATCAGTTTTACATACAACTCATAAACCTCCCCATGGCTTGCCCTGTTTCCATCGTATTTCTGCCTTTTCTTGAATCCTGCCCTTCTCTTCACCCAAGTTATCGGGTCCAGGTGGCGCTGTGGGTTGGACTTTGGGCTTCTGACTTCAAGTTAACACCTATCTACCCTCTAGCCTGTGACTCCCCTACCTTCCCTGTCCCTGCCAGCCCTGGTAGCCGTCAAAGTCTCTTTCGTTCCGTGTAAAAACCTTGTCTTAACTCTTGGTAGTCGTGGTTTCATGCAATATTTCTTCATTGTGCCTGGCTGATTTCACTCAGCCCAGGGTCCTCCAGGGTCCTCCGTGTCGCCAGGTGTTGGGCCGATTCATCACTGTTCTTTAAGGCTGTCTAGTGTTCCATCGCATTTATCCACTCTGCAACCAACCAGCCTTTTGACTGGCCCCCTCTTTGTGATCTTGTGAGTAGTGCTCTGATGGACACGAGTTTGCATGTATCTATTTGCACTATGGCTCTTCTTGCAAACCTTCTTTTTGTTTCCAGCTTACTTAGATTTTCCTCACGTTCTATTAAATGAATCCATATAGCACATCAGTCTTTTTTTCCCCCAAAAGCTATTTTATTAGCTAATCCAGACATTATACCATTCCATAGTTCAATCAAATCAAGCATTGTTGAATGATTGCTTCCGCAATCAGTTTCAAAACATTTTCTTCCTTCTTGAACTCTTTGATGTTAGCTCCCCTGTGTTCCCCACCCCCTCCCCCAAAGCATATCAGTCTTATATCCTCAGTTTCTCTTATTTTTCTACACTTGATCTTAGCCAAAAGGCTAAAAAGTTATTCTCTTTTCTTCTCTGTTCCTGCCAATCTGCCTTTGTTCAAGTCTTTATCAGTTCTTGCCTCCATTAAAACAATATTATTCTAATTAATCCTCCTGCCTTTAATGCCTTATATCTCTAACCCATTTTACCACCAGTTATTTTGCAGCAAATCTAATGATCTCTCTCTCTCCCTCGTTGAAAACCTAATAAAGTGTAGACAATTCACTACTTCATTCTAGGCCTACTGATGTCTACTTGTCCTTTCAACATCGGTTTCTACAACTTTTCCCGAGTTGCCCTATGATAAAAAAGAGGAATAGCTCAGAGACCGTTGGGATAGTAAGTAGACAAGGACATGGCATAGGGGTCAAGTCTGACCTCCCCCAACTTCAGCTGGGAGAGGAGAATCTACTTCCACACCAGCACAAGACCGATTGCCTCAAGGCCAAGATCAATCATACCTTCGCCTTCCAGCCTTCTTGACCCGGTTGTGACACCAGCCATCCCTCCCACAGCACTCTACTTCTCTGCTGGCTCCCATCGTTTGTTGCAATACCATACACCACTCACAAATAATACAATTAAGGAGTTTATTAGAGAAAATAAAAAGGTTATAAAATGTTAATGATACAGTTCTTTTGACCACACCTCTTCTCATCCATGCTGACAGGCATGTCTCCCTCTGGTCCTCAGCCACATAGACCCTGGGCCTCTGCCTTGTTCCATAGACCAGAAAGCCCACTTGATGCTGCTGTACCTCACAGTTGAGTGCACCTGTTCTGCTCTGTCTCATGGCCTCGTTGCTGTGGCCTCTGCTGCCTCTGTCACTTTAGACAGGGATCTCACGTACGGGATTCTGGCTCTCTGCTTCTGAGCAGGCTCGCCGATACACAGAACAATAGCAAAACTGATCCGATCGCCCCTCCCTTAGTGTTTCATACACCTAATTTGTAATGTGCACCCAGTCATTTGGTGTATGTTTTAAACACATGGCTTGAAGAACCATAATGCAATCTCACTTGACTACAGTATGATTTAAGTATAGCACCATTTTTTATAAGTCATTGGCTGTAGTCAGCAGCTTTTATAATCTCTTAATTAGTAATGTATTCAGAGTAATGATCCATCAACTAATGAAAAGGACATAACAGGATCATCGGTTAACATGATGTCCTATCCCTCTCGTGTCACCTTCAAGTACAAAGTAAACAACCTTCTCTCACTCAGTGGTCTCTCTCGGGAAGGACAGTCTCTAGCCATACAGAGGTGAGAGTGAGCCCCATTACCGAGAAGTGCCATTTTGATCACCTCCACCTTAGAGCAGTGGTTCTCAACCTTCCTCATGCCGTGACCCTTTAATACAGTTCCTCATGTTGTGGTGACCCCCCAGCCATAAATTTATCTTCGTTGCTACTTCATCACTGTCATTTTGCTACTGTTATGAATCGGGTGACCCCTGTGAAAGGGTCGTTCGACACCCAAAGGGGTCGCGACCCACAAGTTGAGAACCACTGCCGTAGGGTGAACGTTGACACTCATTTCTAAATCCTTCAAGCTGTTCTTTCTTGAGTTATTACAGTAGAGTTTTTAATATTTTCACTGAGAATTAGTATTCATTTAAATACAATGACATCACTATATTATATAAAACGATAACAGAGCTTAGGAGGTTCACTGCCAGCTTGGGACGCACATTGGGTGGGTTGTTTTCACCATAATTCAGGGCCCACAAAGAAGATGTTTTTAGGTAAATGGTTGTAATAAAACTAAGAAAAATTCAGCCACAGGACACGTGGCACAATTTCTTTAGTTAAATGATGACTAAATAACACTGACTTCTGAAATGCTGATGAAAACAACATTTAGGCCAGAAATACATTACACTTCTTATACCAAAGAGAAATCATCGAAGTCCAAATCTAGTGTTCCGTGTCAAATCTCTTGAAATGGGAAAGCTGTGGGATTTCTGGCAATTCATACCGTAGCTTCTCTCCCCAGACCCCACCTTACAACCGGGACCGTTATTGTAGATCTACACGCCCACCGCCAGCAGATCGTTTTTGAGCTGCAGTCATGGCGTGCTTGCCCTCTAAACCGCCGATCAGCGGCAAAGAGAGCTGATGTGTGAGACCCAGGCAGTGGTTCTTTAAAACGCGCAGGGTCTAAGTGACAAAGCATGACTTGGAAAAGGAGCACTGGTTTGCAGTCCTAATGGCCCCGTCCCGTTCCTCTGTCCGACCCTCACTGCTCATCCCGTGCCCCTGACTTTGCATCACGCCCCAAAGCCGCAACTCGACATTCCAAAAGCATTCTAATTTTCAACCTTCGTCAGAAATTTTCCTTTAAATTTTTATCGAGGTTTTTTTTAAAGCCAATGATTATGCTCATAGAACGAATATAATTTGGTATGAATAGTTTTTTTTTCTTTCTTTTTTTTTTTAATTAATCAATTTATTAGGGCTCATACAATTCATCACAATACATAGATCAATTGTGTAAAGCACATCTATACATTTGTTGCCCTCATCATTCCCAAAGTTCTCTTGCCTCTTGGGTTCCCGGAATCCGCTCATTTTCCTTCCCCCCCCCCCCTTCCCTTCCTTCCTCCTCTTTCCCCCATGCACCCTTAATAATTTATAAATTGTTTTTGTATCTTACATTACACTGTCCGTTGCCTCCCCTCACCCACCCCGCTGCTGCCTGTCCCCCAGAGAGGAGGCCATACGCGGCTCCCTGTGATCCATTCCCCCTTACTACCTCCCCCTTGGTATGAATAGTTTCTTGATGTGAATTTTTTTTTTTGCTTCATTTAATTTTGAGTATAAGGGGCTTCATATGTTTGTAGGGAAAATAGAAGGAAAAGGTAATGGAATTTTTCTTAAGCATTTTTTTCTCTTTTCTAAAACCATTTTATTGGGAGCTAATCCAGACACCATATCATTCTAAACTTTTTATTTCAACTGCTTTAATGACATGTAATTCACATAGTGTATAATTCAATAATTTAAACATATTAAAAAGAGTTGTGCAATCATTACCACAATCAATTTAGAACATTTTCTTCTTTCTTGAACTTAATATTTTTGAAGCCCCTTCATATTATGTTTGGATAGGATCTTGGTAATCATATTGTGTAATTTTATGTTATTTTAGAATCATCATCAGAGTAGCACTAAGGTGAAGTAATGCATAGTAGATAGTACCTAAAAATAATATGTTGTTGCTGATTTTTTAAATTAATATTCAAAGCTTTCTTTTTCTATATTCAAAGCATTCTTTTATTTTTTAAAAAACAATGCATTATGCCATGCATGAAAAATGTTACAGTGTGGGCTGTAATTGTTATAATTCATGAGCATTTTAAAAGACTTGTTAATTCTTTGAGACCATGAAGATACTATCTTACTATTATGTCTCCTGTAGGAATAAATTTAAATACAGTCAACTCATCAAGTAAAAATGTTTCTTACACATACTGACAGAACCTATTTTATTTGGGTTAGATGAAATCAGGACAATATAGGCAATATCTTTCTGCATTGTAGTGAAACAGAAATGGAGGAATAGCTGCTCCAACACAGAACCAGATCCACGGGAGTGAGGCAGTTTTTAGTGCAGTCCCTTTCCTTATAAAGACTCACTCTCATCTTGCAGGAATATTGTTTTATATAGTATTGTAGTGTTGAGTTAGAATGGTAGAGTTTAGTAAAGAATCCTAGTTTTCGGAGAATTGACTGTTAGATCGTCTTGGGGGCCCACCTGGGTGCCCCAGACAAGGCATTGTTACTGTAGCAGAGCCTTGTTCATTTGATTGTAAAACTCTCTCTCTCATTCAGTCAGTCAACTTGTGAGTAGTAACCCAGAGTGAAGAAGATTCTTGCTCCTCGGTCAGCCAGGTAATAGCTACTTTTTATCATAAAGGCTCTGCCTGCAATAGGAAAAGCAAGCCAACTTCTTCAAAGGTGTTTTTGTTTATTAAAAAAAAAACAACCCTCTCTTAGTCTAGCAGCCCCGCTCCATGCCTCAACTTGTGACCCCAGTTTAAAATATACTCCACCTGAATTCTCGAATCTCACCCATGCAAAATCCCTAGTCTCACACATAGGATAGGAGCTGACCGAAAGAATGCTTAGCCAAGTGTAAAGCATGTTGTTTTTTTAATTTCTGCTTTTACGTTTGCTACCCAGATCCTTATGTTTGGCAGTTAAATGTTTATTCTTTGTTTGTTTTTTGGCTGAACAGGAAAACTGTGGTATGTCTGTGTGTAATGGTAAAATATATATCCTGGGCGGAAGACGGGAAAATGGAGAAGCCACAGACACCATCCTCTGTTACGATCCTGCGACCAGCATCATCACGGGGGTAGCTGCAATGCCCAGGCCAGTGTCCTATCATGGTTGTGTGACTATTCACAGATACAATGAGAAAGGCTTTAAGCTCTAGAGCCGGGATACCTCATCCAAGAAGCCACACCAATCCAGGAGAGGGCTCAAAGGCTCCAGAGTGGGAACTTGATTGATTTCCTTTGTGCCATATGCAAAAACAGTAAAAATACCCATTGCGGTGCCTTTCTCCCCCAAACATCAATCTTTCAAACTGTAAATAAAGCCTTTCCTGTCATTGGGGAAAAAAAGAAATACATATATATATATTGTTAAAGGTAGTGGTGGTTGTTGCTTGGCCTTTGAGAGTGTATTGTTGTAAGTATTTGTAAAAAGCCTGGGTGGAATAGGTGGTAGCAGCAGCCTGTGTATCTCTTAGGAATTTGTGGATGCTCCCTTCTTTGATGTATGTTAAACTGCATGACAGCATCTCCTGTGTTTTGTCGTACATGTAGAGAAAATGACAACTTGAGGCTTCATGTTGGTTGAATCATCAAATGCTTAGGATACCTAGGGTTCACGCTAAGGGGGGAGGTTATTATTTTAAAATCTTTGTCACTAAAACTATATCCAAATTGATTGATTTTGAAGATTTTTTTCTTTACCCTATAATTGATAAAAAATTTGATGAGAGCCACGAACTACCTACCATAAAATATGCCATGCTTGTGACCTCAGTGTAGAATTGCTGATCACAAATGGAGTGCCTCTGAGGAGCGTTACTTTTATCTGAATATTTTAACTCCACTTTGTAAAACTTAGCCTGTTTCAGAGAAGAATGTAATGTTTTCCCAAAGGCAGATGAACGTAGAAGGAACTACGACACGCGTGATTACTGAGACCTTGAGCAGGGAGTCAGTATTGATAATATTTTATAGACGTTGCAAGTAACCTGCTGAGTTTTGACTTCCAAGTAGGAATGCTAGCTGGCGGGATACGGTTATACTCCCTGCTGGGAGGAGGAGGCAAGGTGCAAACACACGTTTGATTCTGCTGCTACCCCATTTCCGTTAGGTGCAAGGTAGCAATCAAATCGCTAACGGGTTTCCTTTTTCCTTTTACTCTCAGAGCATACAGGCATTTCAAATAGACTATAGAGTATCACCTTTTTCCATTGGTTAACTGAAATCTGAGTCCTGAGGAAAACAAAAAAGTTTTTAAAAAAAACAACTTTCTAGGAAATTCTTCTTTTTCAAATTCTAATTTGTGAGTGGTGTATACTTTTTTGTGGTGATTATAAGAGCCATTCGGAAAACACTTTTGACCATGTTAGTTGTAAGACGATTACAGGTTCATTTAGATTACTGTGCTTTCATTTCAACGTGAACGTCCACTTCTGCTTTAGACCTTGTGTGTGTAGAAAATGGAACCTGAACTTTAGCTCTGAAATTGTACAGTAACTGAGATAATGTATGAGAAAGTGCTTTGTAAATGCTGGGGATGATACAAATGATACTTGTTATCCTCGTGTTTATTTGTGAGATCATGCCTATTCATAAATACAGACACTTTACATAAAAAGGACTTTCTCAAGGTAACTTTGTATTGTAGTATATTTGTCTGTTGTAAAAGTATTAACTGTTTACTTATGGTTTGTTACAGATTTATTTTCAATATCTGTGTTCATCATAATACATTTGAAATGGAATCCTAAAAAACAAAATTGGATTAAAAACAGACTTCATACTGATAGAATTTAATTTTCCCTATGTGATTGTTAAATGTATAAGTTTAGTTGCAATTCATGTTGAAAGACAATAAGAATTTAGTCCTAGAAAATTAAAATGGCTATTTTAAAAGTTACCCAACTTCTCATTTTAATTTTCTGTACTACTTGATAAAATAGCAATGTTAGCATTGATAACATAACTTTAGTTTATAATTAGTATATCAAAGGGGATATAGCAACCAAATTGGTATCAGATCATGTTCATATAGTTATCACATAGCTAACAGATTTTCTTATAATAGGTGGTGTTCATATGAGCCTTTCGGTTAGTGTGTATTTTTATGCATGTATGTGTGTGTGAATATAAATGTAGATAGTATGGTCATGCACACACGTATAGGAGTTTGTGGTGATCAGAAAAAGCACATAAAGTAAAACTTAGTTGACCTTAGTAAATTCAACCCCAGAAGATCTTTCTCTTTGGGCAAGTCTGGAATACGTTGTCAGCGCTGAAAGTCCATGATGAGTATTAGTAGGATCACTTTGGTACCCTGAGAACTGGGTAACGCACCCAGTTTTACACAGCCAGGAAACAAGTTGGAGGAAGAAATGGACTTGATAAACCCAGCTGTGACTCACAGGTCTACTGTTGTGGATCAACGGGAGACAAATTCTGCTTCTCTACAATCCACAAAAGTAGACGCTGTTTTCTCCTGACTGCAGCCCTTTTCCTTGTTTACCAGTCTGTGGGTGAGCTGTGAAGTGGCCTCCTTTTCACAACTGACGGCCTTCCTCCTGCCTCCTCCACGGGTCTGAAAGGGCAGCCTGTCGGATCCCAAGGAAACTCTTCAAGGTGACTGAAATACAGGGATTTACCCCACTTACACCAGGTATTGAGACGCTAGAAATACTCAGGGAAAGAATTAACTTGTCCCGTTCTCCAGTTTGAGTGGTTAAAGTGCCGTAATGAAATAGTCTCCCGTGTATGTTTCTAGGGTACATTTGGTTTGATAAAAGGGGTTCAAAAAGTGGCACACTCACACGTGGCGGTGGGTAAACCTTCATTCTTGTGTATGTAGACAGTGAACCAATACGTTTTCTCAGTGAATATGAACTGTTTCTATATCTCTACTGTCCAATGTCCTTTTTGTAACTCAGGAAAGACAAAAGTTCGATTGCATTACTTTTGTCCACATGCAAACCAAGAGTGTCTGTGGTTGTCTGGATAGGGCGTTAGACTAAGACAAGAACTGCGTGAGAAGCTGTGCATGAAAGGCAAGGGTTGGTTGTGTGTGTGCGTCTTGTGTCTTGAGGTTTATATGTGGGAAAGACATCTAATCCAGACAACTTTCAAAGAGGAAATAGGACGATTTCTGGCTTGTAAAGCTCTTCCGGACAGCCTTTACCGTGATAAGCTAAGACACCCGTTAACCTCAACAGAATTTTGGCCTTACTAGAATTTGTGATTGATGACACTGAAAGCCAGGTTTACATCACCTCACCCTGTGGTTATTTTTGTTAAATTCACCCTACCGAGTAACCAGAACGGAGCAATGTGCTTGATTTTTAAGGCAGTAGGTTTGACTAGCAGGCTATATTGTCACATCTAAGACCAGGCACCAGAAGCCACTTGAGCCAGGAGTGTGAATTCATAATTTCAGAGATTCTTTAGGAGAATAATTCTCCTTTTTCAACAAAACTTGGGATATTTCCCAATGTTTTTATATAAATGTTTTACACTTCTGTGATTGCCTTAGAGATAGAATTTTACTTAGTGCTAAAGATGATCATCATAAATCATATTTTCAAAACAACGGTCATAACTTATTTTATATATGGTTCCAAAGAAGAGTTTCTGTTTTAATGTTTTCAGAATAGCTGCACCTAAATGTGTCGATGTGCCTTACGTTCTGCAGTGCTTCTCCAACCTTTTCTACCGGAATGCAGCGCAGCTTAGAAAACCTTCCTTTCTGTTTCCTATGGATAAGCCGATTTCCTCTGCTTTCAGTTTCTGAAGAGCAACAGCCATGTGGCGGAATGAGTATGTTAAGAGAGATTGTTGGATGATTGGAGTTATGTTTTTGTTTGTTTGTTTTTTGATACTAAGGTGCTTTTTAAGATTCAGATAAACGTCTCTTATGTTGCTTAATCCCTTGTACACATCATTTGCAATATCTACATCTATTAAATAAATGACATCTACTCGTTTTCGTTACAGTCCTCATTTATTTCTCCAGGGAACGAGCTGGCACGTTTTCACTTTACTGTCTTTTGAAAAGCTTTCCCAGGGCTTGCTTGCTTTGCAGAATATTCAGATTTCTTGTTGGGTTTCAGGAGCCACTGAGACGGCAGTCACGGGCTGAGCAAAAGCAGAATCTGCTGTACTGTCGGTGTAGACCCGTGGCTGCTTCCCTCGAAAGGCACCACAGCCCCCACAGCGGTGGGTCCAGAGGGGTGAGGGGACTGTAATTCACTGTTCTCCATTCAGTTGTAGCGCATTAATGCTGAATGGGTTTTGTTCAGATATATTTCCTGCAGTTTTCTTTAGTTCTTAAAAGTTGTATAGATCTAATAAAGTGCTTTGTAACCATTATTACTTGACTGGTTGGTTGTATTAAATTTTGTTTACCAAAGTCATGTTGTTCTGTCTTATTTTCAGTATTAACAAGTGATTACGTGAAATCCGGGAGGGGAGGAAGAGGATATGTTAATACAGTGTGTGTGGTGCGCGTTTACTAGTATGTGCACAAAGTAATTGGAAGCGTAAACCAAGGAAACTAGTAAACTGAGGAAAGGCGATGGTGGATAAAGGACGGGTGACAGAAGCTTCACGTTCAGCCAACAAACAAGGCTTTAAAATGTTCGTGGAAAAATTCCATTACACTTTAAGTACATAGATAGATGCACATCATGTAAAATTTTTTTTTTTGTTTTAGTTTGGGCCACATATTACCTATTCCAAGAATTTTTTTTTAATTACCACAAACAGACCCACTGCTGTGGGGTCTGTTGCAACTCCTAGCGACCTGTGTCAGTCTGGGTCCTTTAGAGAAACATACACAGAAACTCATTGTGAGAGAGAGTTTTATATGAAGGGTAAGTGCACCAAGAAAACATCCCAACCCAGTGCTGCCCAAGCCCACAAGTCCAACATTAGCCCATATGTCCGACACCAATCCACAAAGTCCTCCTCCATCTCACAAAACACACACTAGGAAGAAAGCCAAATCAGTGGACATGTAAGCATCGCAGTGCTGGCAGGGGTCTCCACACGGCTGCTCCAGCACCCAGGGCTGCATCAGGGTAGGTCCATGCAGCTTCTCCTTGGGGATGTCTTGTAGGAAGTCAGCCTTGCCAGCTGAAGCAGGGAGCTGCTAAGGCAGCTGCACTCTGGTGCGACCACCACAAAGCAAGAGACCCGAGAACTCAAAAGGCGAGGCTCAACCGAGCCATGTATCCCTCGGCCCTTCAATTAATCCCACATGTGTTTATCGACTAGGTTGGCACAATAAACTCACGATCCCTGTGGATTCTTACAGGGGCAGAAACTGCACTTACCACAAGGGAGTGAATAGTGTATACTCTTAACAGGTGCTAATTTGGCCCTCAAAAGTACCCCTATAGTGACTTGGAGGGAAAGATTTAAGGAAGTTTCTTTTAGGCTCATAGAGAAGAGTGAGTTATTATTTCTTGGAGAAGCAGTGACTGAATTTGCATTTTAAAAAGTGGGGAAATATAAAAGCACGTTAAAGAGGCACATTCAATGCTAAGTTTTGATGCTTCCTTTTAAGATTGTGCCACCTAAATAAAATGTCACGTTAAGAGTGCTTTCTGGAAGCTTTGGCAGTGTTCTCGTGGCTAACCCCTCTCTAGCTACATCAGTTAAGTGGGCTTCATCCGACACGCTTCCAACTCGTGCGCTGCCACAGAGCCCGTCAGCCTCCCGGAGCCCCCGTTTTTTCCTTAGGGGAAAATCCACCATCCTGCCCTACAGCAGGGTTAGGGATCACCCAGCCCACAGGCCTGGGGAATCGTTAGCACCAGCTAACGTCAGCTCACCAAAGAAGCAGTTCCAGCAGCCACCACATTCTCAGTACCCTCAAGTCCGTGCTGGCTCGGCGACACCAGAGGACAGGACGGCACAGCCCCTGAGTTTCCAAGACGGACTGCTTACAGGAATAGAGAGCCCTTTCTCCCGAGGAGTCCCTCGTGGTTTCCAACTGCCAGCCTTGTGAATCACAGTCCGACTTGGAACCACTGTCCTGCCAGGACATAGGTTTCACATAGGAAACAAACTCGCTGTCATCGAGTCGCTGTCCACTCGTAGCATCCCCGTAGAACAGGACACAGCTGCTCTTCTGAGTCTCAGACCGTGACTGCTTTCAGGAGTAGAAAGCCCCATCATTCTCCAGAGGAGCTGCTGGTGGATTTGAACAATGGAGCTTGGGGATGGCAGCCCAACTCGTAACCAGTATGCCACTAAGGCTCCTCTGCCAACACTTTAGAGGTGGGTTAATTGTTGACCAAATAGAGCAGTTAATTTCTAACGATAATTTTGTATGGCCCACGAATGATGGTATAAATATCCAAATGGTCCTTGGCATAAAAAAGGTCTGTCCCCACCCCTCCAGCCCCCCCATACACACACACACACACACACACACACACACACACTTGTGAGGACAGGAGGTAATGGTGAACGAGGGTCTTCACAGAGAAGAGGAGCACTTCACTGGGTGCCTGCTCTGTGAAGTTGATTTTGGGACAAAAATGCAGTGTTGGGAAGGCAAGGGAGAAGTTGAAAGATTAACTGTATTTCTTAGCCTACACTTAGGAAACAAGTCTACTGTATCTCTGGAAATCACCTGCATTCTTCGTGGACAGAGAAACGTGGACAATCCCTGCCTTCTGGTTCTTGGCTGTGGTGGAGACGGAGACCATCAGAATGGTTGATCTCCAAGTTATGATGCTGGAGTCTTGCAAGGCTAAAAAAAACTAAGTCTTGTTCTCTTTTGTGTTCTAATAGTTTGCTCATCACAGAGGTAATTGGTAAATGTTTTGGTGAGTGAAAGCATCAATTCTGGTTACCATGGCTACATAAGACCCTGTTCAAAATAGACCTTAGAACAGAACATTTGGGCTATAGTTTGGTAAACATAACTGCCCATCCTTAAGTATCATAGCAACACAAAAAGCATTCATTGGATTTGGGGCGCACACTTAATTCTAGCCCCAGTGTGAGAACAATTAGTTCTTGTGACATGGCCCTGCTCAATGCTCACCCTCATGAAGAGATCACTGAAGATACAGGTGCTGTTGCAAAATGTGGTAAAGGAACCAGATGGTGCCTAGATATTAAAAAGAATAGCATCTTGGATCTTAAAGGCTTCTTAGAACAAGCAGGCATCTAAGTAAGGGATCACCTGAGTCCATATGTAAGAATTGTAAATAACATCCAAATCTGAAGGAGGGAATAGTATCGGTAAAAGTACAAAATCCATTTGCAGGATCCCCGCATGGATTAAGTCTCTGGTGAATTCCCTCTGACCATAGTTGAGAAATTTGAATATCCTTGATAGCAGACAGAGAGCATTGTAAAGTTGATAATGGCAGATGTAGTTTGGTTAAAATGTAATACCTTATCAGATCTCTCTTTTGACCCATTTTAAAGTTATTTCAGTTTTCAATATTTTCTACTTTCTCTTTGAGGTTTTACTATGTTTTGCCTAATCATTGTTGTTGTTGACGTTTTTGTTTGTTTGATTGCTTACTTTGTATGATTTTCTGTATATGAAATCCAGGTCACTTTCTGTGTATGTAATCCAGGATAGGTAATCTATGTGTTAGTCCAGACTGACTAGAGAAACAAATCCATGTATGTATAAGAAAGAACTTTATAGAAAAGAATAATTGTATATTCAGAAAACATCCCATCCCAGTCCAGATCAAGTCCATAAGCCCAATATTAGCCCATAAGTCCTATATTAGTACATAAATTCCTATTCAGACTCACGCAACACATGTAATGATGCTGATTGCAGGAAGATTACAGGCTATTGGGTGTAAAGTCTTCTGGATCCAGTGGCAGTGGAAGCATCTCAGCTCTGGTGTGGGTCTCCACATTGCTCCTCTAGTTCCAGGGCTCTGGCTCCATCAGCATAGCTCCATGTGGCTCATGGCCTCACAGGTCTCAGCAAGTCACGTGACTTGTCAACAAGAAGGTGAAGGCAGAGAAAGAGGAAGTTCCCAGAATCCTCATGAGAAGTCATGCCCACAAGGAGGCATCATCAGGCTGTGACCTGATTGACAGGCTAGACTCTGCCCATACACTTATTTATCAAGTTGGCATGAAATTATCTAACTACCACAATCTATAAAGACAGTAACTGATAGGGGCATGTCAAGGGAGGTAGGGGAGAGATGGGGAGCTAACAGCAATGGGTATGAAGAGAAAATGTTCTGAAATTAATCTTGGTGATGATGGCACAAATCTTAATATGATTGAATAATGAAATTGTATGATATGTGATAGAGATGTCAGTAAAAATATTTTTAAATCCATATATTTTTACTTTGTTTAAACATAACAGAGTAAGGCATCTTTATAAGAAATGAAAGCATTTTAGGGATCATATTTGCTGATAATTGGGCAAGATGGAAAGGCTGTGTAGCAATCAAGTGTCAGGTCAGACATATGCACTCCCATGTTCATTGTTCATAATTGCGAGAAAATGGAGACAATCTAAATGCAAGTGAGTAGAAAGAGGGATAATGAAACTTTGGTACAGGGAGGAAACATTAGAGCAGATTGTAATGATGTACATATACTTCTTTTTAGAAGGATTTAAAAAAATTTTTATAATTAAAAAAAATAAATAAATAAAATTTTAAAAAAGAAGGATTTAACTATGGCAGTGTATGCTATGTAAATATTATGCCAAGAAAACTACTTAAAAAAATAAAGAAACCAAACTTGACCTATGGTTACCATGGGTGAAAGAAGAAGACTTTTTGCTTAGGGGCACTGAGTTCATTTTAGTGGTGATGGAACAATTTGGAGAGGGATAACAATAATGGTTGCACAACACAGTCTGATCAATGGCTGTTAGGCCAGGTTGACTAGAGAAACAAATCCAGTGACACTCATATGTGTAAGAAAGAGCTTTTTTTCAAGAAGTAATTAAACATGGAGAAAACAACTCAGCCCAGTCCCACTCAAGTCTGTAAGTCAATAACAGTCCCTAAGTCTGATACTAGTTCATAAGTCCTTCTTCAGACTCAAGCAGTCACATAAAATGATACAGCATGCAGGAAGATCACAGGCCAGCGGATGAAGTCATGTGGATCCGATGGCAGTGGTTCGGGCAGCATTCAGGGTCCGCCAGTAGGAAGGTGAAGGTGGAGGGTGGGGAGAGAGTCCCCGGGTCCTCCTTATGAGAAGGCCATGCCCACAAGGAGTCACCATCAGGCTGTGACCTGATTGACAGGCTAGACTCCACCCCTACACATTTATATCTTCAGGTTAACATGAAGTTATGTAACTACCACAATGGCACTAAATTATACATGTAGAAGTTGTTGAATTGAAGAATGGTTTGTGGTGTATATTTTTTCCAAAATGGAAAAAAAACTA